GCGAGCTAATGCTTTACTTAGCAATCCCTCGCCGTAGTCGTACGAGGTCCAGGGTGGGCTGATTGATGTAGGGTCGTCGCGCTCTGACGGACTTGATGTGGAAGGCTTGCTGGGCCGCCTCGTGGATGTCCCGCGCTACTCCTGCTGCATGTTCGTTAAGCTCAACTTCCCATGACCTGAGCGGAATCTCCTTAAGGAGGGATGTAAAGGTGTGCTGGTCCTCGGGGTTTCGAAGTCTGTTTTTGTCGAGCGGTTTGAACTTGCTTTTGGGGAAAGACGTTTTGTTGGTCCACTCAAAATTGGCCAACAGAGGGAAATGGTCAGGGCCTTTAAGGCCTGTCTGTAATTCGAAACAGACTTCGGTACTTTGACACGCGGCATGGAAAGCCTCAGATCCAATGATGTAATCTATGCGGTGTAGTTCACCCTCGTGGGTGCTAAAGGTATGATCACCAGGCTGGGCCATGAAGGTATTGATAACCCTGAGTTCAGCATCAGAACATATGCGATGCAACATTTCTCCAGGAAAATCTTGTTCCTGACAGAAGCCTTCTTGACCAACTGAGGGGGAGGTGATGGAACCTAGCCTTGCATTGGCATCGACCAGGAAAATGTCTGGTGGGTGTTTTTCAAAGCGTTTTTCTATGTCATCCCAGAATTCTCGGACTGCGTGCTTGCCACAACGAATGTGGGGAGCATGCGCAACGCAAACAGTGATAGCTAGGCCCGGTGCTCTGATCATGACTCGCATAAAGCGTGGGGTAGAGTCATACACACGAAAATGTCCCCTCTGAAAAAAGAGATTGTGACCGTTCTTGCGGCCATACGGAACATCAAGACTAGCCCAAAGTTCAACTCCCAGTCCCTCTTCTTCATTCTCAATCGAGCCCATGCCTGATGAGAGAACGTGAAAGCCTTTGCACGGCCTGATACCCTTCGGGTTCCGTGTTTCTTGAAGCCCAGCCAGTAGAACCCCCATGTCCTGGAGTTGGAGTCGAACTATCTCAGAGCGCATGCGACGCTTGCGCCCGAGGCATCCATACACGGCCCTCTGCGAGAGGGACTTGACATTGTATTGAGCCACCTTCATGGAATGGGTGATGTTGGTCTTCTTGACCATGGGGGCTGGGGAAGGGGGATCCTGGATGAAACCTGGTTTGGCCTTTGGGGCAACTGGGGTCCACTCAAAGCCTTGATTGAAGGAAGGGTAGGCATTCTTCTCATCCTCTGAGGCATGCTTTAGCCATTCCCAGGCTCGTGCCCTAGAGTATAATGTGACGTCAGCCAGCTCGTTGGGGATGAGTGAAGGGGTCAAGAGCTCCTTGGACGTCCACACAGCAAGCCGATCCGCTAGAGAGTTCCAAGGATGGCCATCATGGCCCTTGACATGGGCGATAGTGAGCGCCCTTCCCTTGCTGGCGATGTCCCACAATACTCTTGCTAGCAGAGGAAGCGGACTGCAGTCGGTAGGTCGTTGCCCACCAAGTAGTTGTACCACATTTAGTGAATCTGTGTGGATAGATGCTTCTCTCACCGTCATGTCGGCAATGATGCATATGAGAGCCCATACCACACCGACGAACTCTGCGTCCGTGCTGGTCGTATGTAGCTCTGGTAGTGCTGTCCTGCAGGTTTCGGCAACCATACCCGTGATATACCCTTGATATGATATGTCTGCTGCGTCTTCACCTAGGACCACTAGCCCCCAAGCTGCAGTCGACAGCTCCTGATTTGTTACTGAGCCGTCTGTGTAGTAGTGCTTGGCAAGCCATGTTGATTGCTTGTGAGGACATAGCTGTAGCGCTACCTTGACATTGTCTGGTACATGATGTTGAGGTAGTTCTGTTCTCCATGCTAGGTTGCCGTGCATGATAATGATGTTAAGCATGTCAGGTAAAATTTCCATTGGACATGTGCATATTTGCATGTCTTCTGTGTCATTGTGAGGAGAACCGAACTGATCAGCAGGGAGGGGAGTAGGATTGTGACTGAGAGCTGATCCTACGCTGATACTGTGCTGGAGTGCAGGGAAGGGATAGGGAAGCTTACAAAAGTGGCTAGGGGGGAAGAGTGCTATTCGCATGCCCGTGCTCACGCAGACCATGTGTAGCGGTATACAAACACATCGAGCCAATGCGTGCCGATCTGCATGTACGTGCTGTAAACGAGCATGCGATATGTGCGGAAACTGAACTGATGCCTGAAGCCCTAGAAGTGACTGCTGTATTCTGAACTCTGGCGTGTGAATTATTCGCGCACAGGTGAAAATTGGAGGCTCTGAGCCTCCAGTGGTGAGGCTGCCAACTCCATGCATCACGAACTCTGCCATTTGATGAATGCCAAAATCAGGAAAACCTCGATCCATACAGTATTTCGGGTCAGAGTTCTGAGCTGGGTTCTCAAGCCGAGCACTTGCTAGCCTCGAGCGTCGTGCGTATCTCGGGCAAGCTAGAGCAAAACTGGCTGAGCTTTGAGTTCTCCAAGCGATCTCACATCTCCCGACCTCCCAAACCCTATCCCAAGTTCGGAGGAGTCTCGGATCTGCTTCAGAGTCGACCAGCTCGGCGCGGGCCTTCTCGCATATGGAGGGAGGCTCACTGGGATTCATGAAAACGTGCCCTGGGTTCGCTTCACAGCACTGCCAGATGCAACAGAAATGCTTAATTGCTGGTATTACGAAGGTGATCCCTTCACCTGTCGAGTAGCTTGCATTGCCGTCGCTGTTAAATTTAAGAAAGAGGCTGGAGGCAGGGAAATCACTCTTAGAAGAGGGTGAAGGAAGCAAGGATGTGGCACATACACTCGCAAGCAAACGCATTGCACAAGATGACCCAAGGCAAGTGCAAGCCTGCTCTAACAGTAGGGCTAAACTGCAATATCTTTGATTAGGTTGGCTGGAGACGCTGCGTAGATTACCCGACACTGCGTGCTCTACAGCACTTGATCCTGATCCTAGGCGATTTTTTGCTGACTCTCTTGGTCTGGACATGGGGCCAAAATTGTATCCTGGAGTGTGATTATGGGGTGCCTGGAGACCCGATGAGTCAGCATCAAAAAACAAAATTGAGTTCGAGCCCCATCTGATGGGCCTGTGAGTGCTTGCCTGCGGCTTCACTCCTACTGGTCGTAGATCCTGCTCTCCTTCTTGGGCGGGCTCGACGTCTCTGGATCGCTCGGGCGCTCCCCTGAGCGCTGCCTGATCCTGTTCTCCTGCGACTGCTGGGTGGAGCCGCTCAGGTCGATGATTGAGACTGCGCCGAATCCTCGATGAGATGGTGAAGTGACTGTATCTGGCCCTTTCAAGTACGGATCCTCTTGCGTCTCGACTGGCTGCGTCGGTGAGATTCCTTCTTCTGGGACTGGCACTTCTTCTGGATGATGTGCGGTTGCCATAGCTGACCATGGCGTCTTCTGAGCTGGCGGCACTGAGGACGGAGTGGGCGCTGGGATAGCATCTCCGAGATGGTCTGCACCGAAGGATATTGGCGGGGATTTGGGCACTCTTCCATGTGACGGCGGTGTAGCAGCTATCGGAGTGGCTGTGCCTGTGACCTCCTCTTTCTTCGGCTCTGGCGGGGCTGGCGGGAATGTTGCCGAAGAATCCCCCCCTACTCGAAAAACTGTCGATGATGAGTTGTGTTGGTTCGGCTGCTGCTGCATCATAATGTAACTCATGCGCGTGAGAGTGTCATCCACGACTGCTTGCTTATTGATCATTCCCTGCACAACTGACATAAGCTGATTCATTTGTTGACTGAGAGTGTCCTGGTTGGTGCTTGATGGCGGCGGCGGCGCTGTAGAACCATTCGTCCAGCCATGTGCTGGATCCCACACTGCAGGAGCTGAAGGCGATCCTGTCCACCACTGTGGTGGTGGCGGTGGTGCAGATCCTTTGCCTGCTCCCTTATTGCTGTCGTATGCAGGCGCAGCCATGTGTACATCAGTAGTACTATGATCTGGCCGAGCACCAATAGGTCCATGGTGAATGTCACCGTGGGTGTGAGCTTCTTCGTCATCACTGGTATCCATTTCATTCAACTCTGCGATTACTTGCTTTATTTTCTCAAGCTCCTCTTCTACTTCGACTTCTTCCGCACTGAGGTTCTTGATTCGCTCTCTGATATTTTTGAGCTTGTCGGTCTGAATGGTCTTCATGTTAGTCATATAGAGCAGCTGCTTGCCGACCTTGAAACACTGAGAGTCCATTAACTTACATATGGAGAGCTCGAAGAGGGTGCCGTCACAATTCCTGTTGGCTCCCTTGGCAGCAATACATATTTTCGCCAACGATTCCATCTTCTTTCGTAACGTGATCCTGAACTCTCTTCGTTCCTTGGGCTGCTGTGGAGGCATTTGGTACCATGACACATCATGCGTATCTGCTCGAGATGCTGGAACAATTCGCGATATGAACTTCTGGATCTCTTGGTCGTTGATGTCGTGATCTGCTGTAACACGAGGGCGACTGGGTGGCCGAGCTTTGGGGTATGTCCACTGCCCTGCAACCTGTCGGTAATTGTTGTCGTAATGCATACCACATCTGCAGGTCCAGTGGTGTCCTTTGACTTGCCTATGACATGATGTGCAGCTCCATGTTTGACCTGGTTTTGGTCCTTGGGACCTTCCACCCGGCATGTTGGGCTGCTGATAAGAATGATGATCTTGAAGAATATTCTTTGCTTTGACAATAGCCAACAACAATCGAGCTCGTCCTCTAACTGCTCGTCGTCGTTTGTGCCAGGAGGGCTCCTTTTCTCCTGTGGAAGGCGCCGTGTCGCGCGCGTCTCCAGTCAGCAGCAAACTGTGCCGCCCAGGAGCGCGACGCCTAAGCCTCGGTCGCTGCCAAAATGGCTTGCGCCCAAATGGCTTCTCCTCCTCCTCCTCCTCCTCCTCCTCCTCCTCCTCCTCCCCTCCCTCTCCTACATATGGTAGTGGTGGTGGAAAGCGGAGGAGGAGGAGGAGGAGGAGGAGGAGGAGGAGGAGGAGGAGGAGGAGGAGGAGGAGGAGGAGGATGGGGACCTTCGGCGCCGTTCCTCGGACACGCCTCGTCCTGGCATGCGGCAGCGCAAGAGGTCCCGACCAGACGGGTGTGCGCCCTTCGTCTCTGCTTCCCTGCCTGCCCGCGGGCCCCAAGAATATACACCACCACCACGTCGATTCCTCCTCCCTCCTATTCCTCTTCCTCTCTCCTCCTTC